TATATATATATGTAACTAAATTTTTGTGACTGGATTAGCAGGATGCCTCCCCTGGCCCTATAGCGGGGTCCATGAATCAGTGTAGCGGTGTGTTCTGGAGAAGTCAACACTCAGCCCACAAATAAAGAATTATGTCTCCATGTTGCCCAAAACATTTGCCAGAGAATCTTGGCAAGATTGGGTGTTGCTGCTTGACTGCTTGAATGAAACAGATGATGTCCTTCTTCACCCTTGGCAGACAATTGCACTTAAGAATATCCCTCTTCTGGGAAAAACTAACAACAATACCCATCGTTTCCTTAGAAGAGGGAGAAACACACAAATAAACTAGGATTTCACAGACTGTGTTATATTTACCTACATTTTTTCTTCAATACTTTCAATCCAATATTAAGATGGAATTGATAGAGGTGAATATGTAATTATTTTAGGCTTAGCTCATTGCCACTTTTCACAGAGTTCATGAGTTTTTTAAAATTAGTTTGTTATTGAAGTATAATTTAGATACAGTGAAGTGCACAGATTTTAAGTTCAATGAGTTTTGACAAATGTATACTCTCCTGTAACTACTATCCTGAACATTTCCATCACTCTAGAAAGATATCTTATGCTCCTTTTCAGCCAATCACCATCCGCATCCCACTAGAAACAACTGCTTTTCTCATTTCTATCATAGATTAATTTTACCTGTTTTTGAACTTCATATAAATGAAATTGTACAGTATGTAGTCTTTTGTGTTTATTTCTTTTACTTAACATAGTATTGATATTCAGTCATGTTATTGTGTGTATCAGTCATTTATTATTAATTTTTTATTGTGATTTAGTTAGTATTTTTATATGAATATTCCACAATTTGTTTTTCCATTCTTTTGCTGATGGAAGGTAGGTTTTTCCAGTTTTTGGCAATTATGAATAAAGGTCCAAAGAAATTTTTGACCAATCCTTTTTGTGCCTATATGTCCTCATTTCTCTTGAGTGATACCTTGGAGTGGAATTGTTGGATTATAACATAGGTCTATGTTTATCTTTATAAGAAACTACAATACAGTAGTTCTTCCTAGTGTGGGTATTCCATTCTATACTCTGACAAGCAACATATGAGAATCCATTTGCTTCACACACTCATCAATATTTGATTTTGTCTGTCTTTTTAATTCTTGCCGTTCTAATGTTTGGGGAGAAGTATCTCGTTGTTTTGATTTGCATATCTCTGGAGACTAATGACATTGAACATCTTTGCATATGCTTCTTAGCCATTCATATGTCTTCTTTTGAGAAGTGTCTGTTCAAATCTTTTGCATATTTTTCTATTTTTAATTGCATATTTTTGTCTCAATTATTGCTGTCGGTGTTCTTTATATATTTTGCATGCAAGTTCTTTGTCAGATAAATGTATTGAGAATATTTTCTCCCAGTGGGTGGCTTGCCAATTCACTTTCTTAATGATGTCTTTTGATGAGCAGAGATTTTAATTTTGGTGATGTCTAATTTATCAATTTTTTTCTCATAAATAATGCTTTTTGTGTCTGGCTTAAGAAATCTTTGCCTACCCCAAGGTCATGAAGATATTTTCCCATGTTTTCTTCTAGAAGTTTTGTAATGTTAGCCTTTAGGCCTATGATCCATCTTGAATCAATTTTTGTGTATATGTGAGCTAGGAGTTGAAGTTCATTATTTTCCATATGGTTATTCAGTTTTTCTAGTTCCATTTGTTGAAAACTTTCCTTTCTCCATTGAATTGCTTTGGCACCTTTGTTGAAAATTAATTGACCAATTAAATGCGATTCCATTTCTTGACTCTTCTGTTTTCTTGTCCTACTTGCCTATCCTTATACCCTTACCATATTCTCTTGGTTAGCTTCATGAGTTTTATCATTTTTTAGTCCTCTCTCTCTTGCTGTGGTACTTCTACCTCCTGCAGGTATTAGGTTCAGAGTTTATTTCAGAAGTTAGTACAACTTCCAAACTGTTCTGGATCTGTGTCCATCTATGAAATAGGAAAAATAAGAATGCCATTATAGGGTTGTTAGAAAAAGTAAACAATCTAGTATACCTTTAAAAAGTATATTATAATCTTAAAATAATATTTGTATGTTTAGAATGTTGCTTATTTTTACTTCATTTTTTGCTTCCCTTAATTTTTTTTTCTTTTTTAAGGTAAAGATGGGAGTTCATATGTAAGATGTGTCATCATCAGGGCAGTGAGGGTGGCGGGGAGGGTAGCAGCCAGTCTCTTGGTGTTAAGTTCCTCTATCTCGTTTTTTTTTTTTTTTGAGGAAGATCGGCCCTGAGCTAACATTTGTTGCCAATCTTCCTTTTTTTCTCCCCAAAGCCCCAGTACATAGTTGTATATCTTAGTTGTAGGTCCTTCTAGTTCTTCTATGTGGGACACCGCCTCAGCATGGCTTGATGAGCAGTGAGTGGGTCTGTGCCCAGGATCCAAACCCATGAACCCCGGGCTGCTGAAGCAGAAAGTGCGAACTTAACCACTACGCCACTGGGTCAGCCCGGCTTCCCTTAATTTTAAGACATGTTCTCATGTATGTTGACTAAAATCTCCAAGAAGGATATGCATCATTAGTTTCAGATTGTGGGGGCACTAATTCTGTGGATTTAGGGAAAAACAAAGATCTAAGATAATTAGAAGAAGTGATGGGCACCAGATGCCTTCCCACTTACAAGAAGCCTAGTCTAGTGGCAACAGTAATCCTTTCTGATATTTCTCCTTTGTCTATTTTCCAAAAGGCAAGAACTACTAGGCTTCTAATGCTTTATTCTTCCAGACCTTTCTGATTTGATCTTCCTTTTCTTTGCTGTGGCAGCTACTCTTTGCAGAATGACCTTTGCTCTCCCCACCCCAAATCAATGACATTTTAAACTCTTTTAACATTTAGTAGAGAATTGCTTGTCCCAAAGCTTGGATCAAGTTTCTCTAAAAGATTTCATTATAGGCTTAAAATGGTGTAAAGAGAAGGATTCAAAGTCTGAACGCTTCCCTTTACCCAAACACAACAAGCTGAATAACAACTCTTTCTCTTCCTCACTCATCCGAAAGCATATAACAAAAATAAATAGAAAATGTAAATTCCTTCACAACCATTTTCCTGTTACTGCCCTAGTTCATACCCCAATTATCATTCTCATTTCTAAACTGAAATCTTTTCCTCCTCAAGTTTAGTGGCACCTTCTTACTTTTTTGGTCTTTTTTGTTAAAACTCCTTGAGCACAGTTATTTGATGTTATTTGTCTTAGTTTCAGATTTCAGCATCAAGCTAAGTGCCTTGTACTCACTTCATAAATCTATCAAATTAAATTTATTACAATCAAGTGCTGATATTGCAGCAAAGAGAGTGTCATATATATAACAGACAGACAATAATTGTTCGTGGTTTATTGATAGCAGGAACACAGTATTTATTAATTGATTGGTTAATAGTTTGAATACATTTTATAATTAGAGAATCAGAGGAGCCACGAGCTCCTTTCTTTTCAAAAACCTGTTAGAAGTGTTCAACTGGCATTCTATAGATCAAATTACTTAAATAATAGCTCTTTGTACTTTTTTCTGTAATAGTATCCATAAGATTTGAGCTATATCACCTTGTAATAAACGAAAAGCCTCTTAAATACTTGTAGTACTAAACTCCCTTGGCAAGAATTTAGAATAGACGTCTCAAATTCTGTCCTATTCGTTAGTGTCACAGCCAGGTTCCAGTGTACTTTACCCAGATAGGTGAATAAATATAATTTTCAAAAGATACAGGCATGAAAATGAAGCACCAATGTCTTCTGATGCTAGATTTTCCAATACTCATACTGATATGCTTATGTAGAAATTCTTCTCAGGTCTGTGATTAATTTCTGTCTCCTAGAGCAAATTGTTAAGTCTTGCTTCCTTTTTTGGTAGAACATGGACTTGTCTATCAAATCCAAACAGCTAGTCCTGGGGGCACCTTTTAAAGCCTAGAGGAGGTAAAATTAGGACAAATAAAAGGAAGTGTTATTTACCACACTCCACATATAGCAGGTGGTAAATATGTGAGAAGTATTACTATGAGAGAAGTAACACAGATTGAAAATATAAATGCTTAAACATTTTTAGATAAAGCCATGGAGGCTAGATCCATAAATATTGTTGTGGGGACCAGGACGCTTGGAAATGCCCCTAATCTAGTTATTAATATTAGAATTACTACACCTTCCTATACGTCCCTGCAAAAACCATGCTAAGCTGATTGTGTAATGAACTGATCCAATATAACCTCTTCCAATTCCCTTTTGGACATCAAACAGTGGGTGACAGAGTGAGGAAGCAAATTGGTATCACAGATCTGGAAGGCTATAGGTGATTCTTACTAAACATTACCTTGTGTCAATGCCAGCCTTGTAGGCAGGGCTTGTCACAGGTGCAGAGAAAGTAAAGAAGGTCAACGGAAGGTAATTTTGTCAATGACTTCTAGTCAGTTTTTTTTCCGAGAGATTTAAATTTTCTATAAAGCTTTCAAAATTCAACATTAAGATCTTTTAAAATTGTTTCCAGTATAATGTTTCCAACATTAAGATCTTGTTAAATTGTTAACTATTTATTTAACTAAATAAAAGTTAGCTGCCTTGCCCTTCCACCCCACTCCCAAACCTGAAACGTTGGAGGATAGAGAGTACAATCGCTAACGTCCCCGCCCCCACTGATTCTGGAAGGAGGGCTTGTACAGGCGCCAAATAAAAGGGTTCAAAGGGCTGAACCAGTAGACTGGTTCAAGTGGTAACTCGCGCAGAGACGATAAGGAGATTGAGAGGAGGGGCTTGGCGAGTTTGGGAGTGTACTTTCAACGCTGCAGAGCAAATTAATAGGAAATTAGGCAGAGACGGCGCGGTCTCTGCGTCCCGCCCGCCGGCGCCGTGCAAGTCACCGCAGCGCCCGCGCCACCCGCCTGCTGGGACAAGTTTGCTGCTACTTCTGCTCGAATTCACGGTACGTGCCGAGGAGGGGGGTGGAAGGAGACGGTGCGGAGAGGGTGGCGGGCGGGAAGGGGAAAGGGGTGGCAGATGTGGGCTTGAGAGGTCTCTGCCAGCCTGAAACTTTGCTCTGTTTAGCTGCTGAACGTTTGCTTTTCAAGCGATTGCTTCTGAAAGGGAGCTGTGTTCCTGCATCCTTGTAGGTAAGTTTTCCCCTTGTCACACTCCAGAATGAAACTTGAGCGAATAAGTCTTTTCATGTTTAAGTGATGATTTACTCACTTTTTATTCTCAAGCCAAAGTAGCATCCACTTTGAAAGGCCCCCCCTTGAACTTTTGGGGAATAAAACTTAGGTGCAAGTTGCAGTAGTATATGAAGTCGCTGCAGTTTAAGCAACTTCTGTTCACCCTGAGGGGGTAAAATCCTGCAGGGGCTCTGATTTCAAGGACAAATCGGCCTTTGTACCTCCTGAAAGACAGGACTTGCTCCTCTCAGATAACTGTGATAGGCAAGAGAAACATCAGCAAAGTTAAAATAATCATAATAATAATGATAAAACAACAACAAAGTGCAGGAGGACATAGATTAGATGTTGTGACGTTAATTATGACCATTTGACTAGAAAACTAAAGATGAAACTCCCTGGGAGGTTTACAGCCCCCTAATCTGGAAGAGGAAGCATGTGAAAGGAGTAAAAGAAAAGGGAACCCTTCTTTGGGAGTTAAGGCCTTAGATATTACAGCTATTGCTGAACTGGAGCATGGAGAGAAGGGTGCATGCAAATCTGCCATCTCCCTGCTTCCTTTAAAATAGTCCCAAGGCCTCTTGGTAGTCTGGGCACCACTTTTATTTTCTCCTTTTCCTTCTCACTGCTTTCTCTCCAAGGCAGTGCCAAGTGGGCTGCAATCAAGCATTGGTGAATGCCAAATGGAAACTTCCCCAGGCCCCCAGCTAAAAGCCTTTAAGCCAGTCAAGCCTAGAGTTCTCAGGGCCCTAGCCTGCTGAGAATACCAAGCTAGGCACACCTTTTGCGTCTCCTGGGGGTTTACTATCCTGGGAGTTAGGGTAGTATTGGGCTTTGCTGTCCTCTTCTGTTTCCAAAATAAGAGGACTTTGGTCTTTTTTTTTTTTTTTTTGTGGTGAGGAAGATTAGCCCTGGGCTAATATCCGTGCCCATCTTCCTCTACTTTATATGTGGGACGCTGCCACAGCATAGCTTGATAAGTGGTACGTATGTCCGCGACCGGGATCCGAACCCGTGACCCCCGGGCCACTGAAGCAGAGTGTGTGAACTCAACCACTATGCCCCTGGGCCGGCCTCTAGGAGTTTGGTCATTTTTTAAAATGGCAAATAAGTCCAAATTTGATATAGCTCTCTGTGGCAGACAAGTACAATTTTTCTAAGGGTTTGTTTTAGAGGGGAGTTTATTCCTCGCTCGGGTTGGGAAAAGACGTCAGCACAGTCCTCTGAGAACAGCCTTACCCCACATCCCTCCAGAGCCCCAGCATTTTCCTCCCAGTACCTGGGCTCTGAAGCACAGGAAGCCAAGCCTGCAGTCACCTCAATCCGTTCAGGAAATTCTAGAATTCCTAAACAGCCATGAGGCTACTGAACTATAATTATTCTTTATCTTGTGGGTGGTGTTCTGTTGGTTTCAGAAGATACAAAATTGCAGAGTCATGGCCCTGGGGATGTATGCCCACATTTTGTGTGTTTCACAATATTGATGTAGCCAAGCCACCGTAAATAAGAGAACTTTGTTCTTCTTGGCGAGAAGCCTGTAAAGAGAAGAGGAATATTCCTCAGTTGTGAGACGAAGACTCACTTGTGTGTCATAGATTCTATAGGAATGCGGGGTGGGGTTCAGGTTGGGGAGAGGACAAGATAGGAATGGGATTTGGCAGAAAAAGGTCCTCAGAAGACCAGAACAGTCTAGAATTCTTAGCCTTGATGGTGGATAGTCCATGAGTTAAACACTCGAGAAAACTAGCTTCCAATCTTGTCCCTCTGCTGTGAGTTAGGGTCAAATTACTCATTCTACCTCTCCAGGCCTCAGTTTCCTTGTATGTTAAAGGTAGAGACAAATATTATTTGCTCTGACTACTGTAGAATTTTCCAGATCCAGTGAGATAATGTGAAAACTTTTTGAAAACTCTAAAATTGTGTCCTCAGCGCCTAGAACAGCGCCAAAGAAGGAGCTCAATACGTAGGTAACACCAGGGCCCAGGGCTTTTCTATGTAGTTTGTACTTTACTCATTGAATGCTCACAAGAATCCTGTGAGGTAGGAAGTATTATCAACCTCAATTTACAGGGAAGGCAAGTAGACCCCAGAAGTTAAATCACACCTAGTAAGTGGCAGAGTCGAGATCCACCTGGATTTCAATCTAGTTCCAGAGTCTGTGTGTACTTAACTCTTTGCTCTTTGTCCTCTGAAACGCAGTCACCCCCACGTTAGAGGACTGAGCTCTGCTCTCTGGCTGGATAGATGGAGGTATTCTCTGCTATGCCAACCAATGATGGCCAATAAAAGGAACAATGCACTGTATAGTGTAATAGCTTATTTTCTGTAATTCAAAACCAAGTTTCATGTTTTGCTCTGCTTGTTTTTCTTAGATTATTTCTACCGTATTCCTAGAATATTCAAATCACCTAACATTTTACTCTGTTAATTACTATTACTACTATACTGCCCTCCTCCCTCCTGGTGACTTTTCCTGGTAAAAAGGTTTCAGTAATTTTGTTTTGACTGCAGGGCCCAGCCATGATGCAGGCTCAAGGCAACTTATTGACAAATCAGCTTTGAAAAAAAAGTCTAGACCGGTATCACCTATGCCATGCTATAAATGACTTCTATTTGTTCATTTCTGATCTTTACTGCTCCTCACCCGGCCCTCCCGTGTGCTCGGAGTGGGAGATGTTGGTTTCCGAGAGGCGGGTCATGGACCTATAGGGTGTGGTATCAGACGCTCAGTGTTAGCCCATCTCCCCAAACCACAGACTTGAGGAGTTCAGCCACATTCTTGGTGATTAAGAAACCCTCTTTGTGTGAGGTGCATTTTCAATATATCGTTTACATTTAAAGAAAAAAGGCCTCCCATTGCTCTTGTCCAACTGCTGACATTTTTCTGTTCTTTTCCCGCCAACAGTTCTGGAAGCCTTCCGCTTCTTTACGCTTTCAATCCCAGTTTTCACGCGGAGAAAACCATTCTCTGGACTCTTATTCCATTGCCAAATAAATTTCATTCTGGGAACATCAGTAGAGACCTACAGAAACTGTTTTAGTTTTAAAAATATTGTTAAGTAGAACACTTCCTAGTTGATAAACTTTTCTTAATTTTCTTTTTTCATTAACATCCCTGCTGTGTTTCTTCAGATCTCTTTCCAGAGGCATAGGATTCAGGGATCCCTTATTTATGTGTTTATTTTTTTGTGAGGAAGATCAGCCCTTGGCCAGCATCTGTTGCCAGTCCTCCTCTTTTTGCTGAGGAAGACTGGCCCTAGGCTAACATCCGTGCCCATCTTCCTCTACTTTATATGGGATGCTGCCACAGCGTGGCTTGACAAGCGGTGCGTCAGTCCATGCCCGGGATCCGAACCTGTGAACCCAGTGCCGCTGAAGCGGAGCACAGGAACTTAACCGCTAGGCCACTGGGCCGGCCCCATAGGGATTCCTTATTAAGCTAATTACTTTGCATGAGTTCTGAAAGATAGTCAAGTTTGTTCATAACTTTCACCCCTCAACACTAGAACAGCAGCAGATACATTAAGTGATAGTAAAAGTATTATGTTGCACTGAAGACTTATCTAACATTTTGTACTTTCAAGACTACTGACTTGTGGAGGTAGATTAATTTATCATATGCATTTTGTTTTGTTTTTTAAATTAGAATATATAGTTTCTGTTTGCTTAAATCCAAAGAGTACATTTTTAGCCTACCTTTTAAAATAGGGGTTACTTAGGAAGCTTTGGTTTCTTTATCTGCAAAATGGGAATAATAATACCTATCTTGTAGCATAATTGGAAGAGGAAAGAAGATAACAGATGTAAGGGATGCCAGCAGTGCCAGCCACAGAGTAGGCATTCAATCAATGTTAGTTGAATCAGAATTAAGCAGTTTGCAGTCTCTTGAAGGAGACAGTGCAACGTGGTTAGTATAGCTGATGCGAGGTCGGAGAGCTGGGTTTGCGTCCTAGCTTGGCTACTTAACATCTCTAATTCCCGTTTCCTTCATCAGTAAAATGGATCTAGTTATGAGGATTATAATATTATAGTTACAAAGATTATGTAAGGCAGTGCACATAAAATACATGGCATAATTGGATGCAGAGTGAACTCATAAAATTAAATATATATGTACATGTATGTGGTTTATATCACATTCAACAGCAACACACAGACAACTATATGACCAGTAACAGAGTATAGAAAGATATATAGATTTATAGACTACTGGTAGATGGATAGAAGGATCAGAATTTGATAGATGTCAATCTAATAAGGTTGCTTACAGGGGTTGAGTTTTAAAGGCAGGAACGGACATCATCTAGAAGAGACAGCACTGCATGCTAAGCAGGTTCAATAGCGTTTAAGAACGCTATTGTGTTCAGTGTGTTCTGTGTTTTCTCTGTTTCTGTGAGAAAAGATGTGTGTTTATGTAGAAGAGATGGAAGAAGCAGACAGCAGAGCTGATAATGGAACAAGAGGAGGTTAAAAAGAATGGCTACCCGGTTAGGGTGAGGAGTTGGCATTTTCAGCTTTACCCTAATTCCTACCCATTTGGATGTCTGTATCACCAGTCTTTCCTCCTGAGCACATTTCCGGTATACTTCCAACTCCAGACTCAGATAGCTACGTTGAGTGGAATGTGCAGTAACCCGAGGAGTTATATAAAGCCATCCTCCTTTCCTTATTCCTTCTATGCAAGTACCGTATATACCCATTTCTTACTTTGCATGTGCAAGCCTGTTATTTTATATTTATCCTCCTTCTCCGTCTTCACTTGTGTTGGTATTAATGATGACCAGGATCACGGTGATAATGATGATCGTGAGAAGGACATAGTAAGCTTTACTGGAGGTTTTTCATGGGCCGGGTGCCACACTAAGTATATTCCACATGTTATCTCAATTAAATCCTGACAACAACCCAATAAATTAGGAGTTATTACTATTCCTATCTTATAAATGAAGAAATTCAGTCTCAGAGAGGCCAAATCTCTCAACCAACGTTAATAACCAAATAGTTGGACTGGAATTCAAATCCTGGAGCATGAGATCTTGAATACTACTGAAATGACGAAAAGCTGTAAATTGGGTTTCTAAAGAAGGGTATGTGTTAGACCTTAGGCATTCCTAATCAAACGTTAATGGCACTACTATGTATGTAGTTTGATGTTTCTAAAGAGATCAATCCATGAGTTCTGGTCTTTTGTATCCAACTTGTGGTTCATCTTGATGTAAAAGTATGATTTTAGTCTATCTTTACAGCATTTTGCCTATTTATTTTTGCTTGTAATACTTCCTGCCTTTTCATTTTCATTCTGTACTCATTTGATGTCTTTAAGCTTAATGTTATGGAGCTAGAAAAAACATAATACTGTTTATTTTGAATTGTAAAAAACTTAGTGATTATTTCTTCTGCAAATAACCCAAGATATTTTTAGGAACAGTATGGTTAATGCTGTAATATAAGCACACCAAGTGACCATCAAGTTATTTGGGATATTTATGTCTGCTTTTTCCTATCTTGTCTAAAATCTTTTTAAGATTCCAGACCAAAAGTGAAAAAATGGTTGACCTTACCCAGCTAATGGAAAATGAAGTATTCATGGCCTTTGCCTCCTATGCAGCGATCATTCTTTTAAAAATGATGTTCATGAGTTCTGCAACTGCATTCTATAGAATGACAAGAAAGGTAAGAACTTTGGAGGCAGTATTTTCTTTTAAGAGTTGAAATTCTGGAAAGCAATTTTCTTAATTTACTTTTTTTTTTTGGAAAGCCCAATGATACATTGTTTAATGCTGCAAATGAAGGATGCAATCATTCGGTACAGATGGATCTGATATATTTATGGAACATATGCTTTCTCCCAGAAACTAGTAAATGGTTTTTTCATTCTGGTTTTTACCTTTTGTCATGCGGCTTAGCATATGAGATTTCTAGAGTATCAAAGTTTGCAAGGAAATTTTCTGTAATTTTGAAGTTAATTTTGCCAACTAGAGTTTGGAAAATAATCATTTTCTAGACAGTTTGGTGTTTTCAGCTCTATTACAGGTCAAGGATATGCTTTTGGGAAGAGAATGAAAGTTATTATTATTATCAGTAGAGCCTCTTATGTTTGGGACAAAGCATTTGAATTTTGTGTAGTTCTGACTTCTTAAGTGGATAATATTTCTACCCAGCATTATAAGAATGATTTTTTTTTTTTTTTTTTAACTAGAGGCTTGGGGAAGGTGGTAGAAAGATTTGCATTCAAGCAGGGCTTATGACCCAGGTTCCTTGACAAAATTAAACTGTTTTCACTGGGATGGTCCCTGTGCCTATTCAGCAACTTCCTCTTCCTGGAAACCACCTATTCTCTTAGTACCTGTCCTGAGTTTTTGTTCTCCAGAGCGTTACTTTTATCTAGAGATCACAGTCCTCCCTAAAGTATTTCCTTGTTACTGTCTTTAAGGGTAATTCCTTCCCAAGGATATTTGCATTTTAATGGGGACACATACCCACATGTTTATATGTCTAATGGGGCAACGTGTTAGAGCAGCAGGCTATAAAGTGGCTGCCTACTACCAGCTCCATACTGTCTTCTAGAAACATAGTGTCACCAAGCATAGCAGAAATGTACCCTCTTATGAGAAAAGAAGAGGTGACTTCAAGTTTGTGGAGTGCCAGTGATATGTGCCAGGAGACCTGATGTTCTTTATATGTGCCAGATCACGGAATCATTTTACATAATTGTTAGCATTATCATCTGAGATGAGCATTAGTCTCCCCATTTTATAGATGAGGAACTGAAAGTTGGAGAGGTTAAGTAGCTTACTCAAGGTTACACACCAATTAAAGGGGAGGCTGAGATTTAAATTCAGATTGGTTTAAACCCAAATCTCATGCACTTTTTATTGTAATACATTTATTTACTTATTTAAAATGTATTTATTGAACATCTAATGTGTACCAGACATGTATTTAGGAACAGGACAGACAGACCTGACCTCAAGAGCTGATACTATATCACATTCCTGCCCATCAGTTCTCCTGAACATTTATATCTGAAATAAATGCTCATGTCATGTTAAGAAAAATATTATAATATTTATGAGATTTCTAAGTTTAAATTATGGCTAATTTTGTAGTTTGTATTTTTCTTTATTATAAATTGTTAAACAGTGGAACATACCTAAATATTTTTTAAATGCATGTTTCAAGTGTCAAGGGATGGGGAAATCATTTTAGACAACATAATAATTGCAGGAAGGAATACATGAAAATATGCCCTAGAACATGTACTTGGTATTTATAGGAATGTAATTCAACTTCTTATATTTCACTTTATTATTCAACCCAAAGATTTAGTTAATTCAGAAAAAGAAAAGAGAGGTACACATATCCTAACAGAATACAAAGTACTTTTCCCACCCGTCACTCTTTTATGCTTCTTACCTGTTCTTTAATATCCTTGGCAAGTAAACTTACTACTTTCACATGAGCCAATCAGTTGGAAATGTTAATATTCTTGAGGGAAGGTGCATCAGCGTCACTATCAAAAAATGCCAGTTCACCATAGTAATAGTCAATGACAACTTAGAATTACTCTCTCTTCCATTTTTGCTTCGTTTTCACTATTTTTATACATTGGTTTTTATTTAAGTTCTTGCTTATGCTTCTCTTTTTAAAAAAATTTGCACTGTTAATAAAAATTCAGATTTAAAGTATAAATGCTCTCCTTTCCCCCGTGTTTGAACTATTGCTCCAAATTTTCTTTCCATAAGGCCAACATGGATTCCCATATTTATTCCATTAAAATGCAAATAAGTTATCTGTTAGACTACCCCTATGTTATTTGGCATTTTAAATAGGTTTATTTCTTGGTATTTGTAATAGGTTTTTGCCAACCCAGAAGACTGTACAGGCTTTGGCAAGGGAGAAATTGCCAAGAAGTATCTTCGGACAGATGACAGAGTGGAACGTATACGAAGGTAAACCCAATGTCTACTGAATTTATTTACTTGATCAGAGAATTTTGGTCAAGGAGTTCAGTGAGGATGTTGGGGTCTTGAAGAGGAAGGAAGTCAGTCATCTTACCTGGTTTATATAATAATTACAGAAAATTAGGGATCTAGAAGTTTCTAACTATCACTGCAATTGCACATATTGCCAGTTTTGCTATACTTTTATATGCACTTTGTTGGGGTTAATGACTTTCTCCTGTATAGGGATATATCAAAAGTAATGAGAGGTAGGAGGGAAAATGAGGACGGTAGATTCTTGCAGTTTTGACATCTTTCTCCAGAGGTGGGACTGTCAGCTTGTGTAAAAGGTTGAAGAACTAGGTATTTTTGCATAGATTCAAAATATGAATGTGGGAAATCTCTCTCACCTCTCTCTGTGTCTGTCCTTTGTAGATATTATGTTTAATGTACTGAGAATTCAGTGAAAAATGAAAAGCAATAAGCCAAGATAACATCTACATAGCTTCCTAATAATACAGTTAATAGACTTATTTTAAAAGCACATGGAATTCTAGTTCCAGAGATGTTTCTTAGTACTTGTCAGAAAGTCATGTAAATTGCAAACATTTTTTTCACCTTTACTGAGGTATAATAAAATTGTAAGATATTTAAAGTGTATAATATCATGATTTGACATACTATGCATTGTGAAAGGGTTCCACCCATCAAGTTAATTAACATTCATCACTGCATATATTTACCCCCCCCGCCTTTTTTTTCTGTGAGGAAGATCGGCCCTGAGCTAACATCTGCCAATCCTCCTCTTTTTGCTAAGGAAGACTGGCCCTGGGCTAACATCCATACCCATCTTTCTCCACTTTATACGGGACGCTGCCACAGCATGGCTTGCCAACTGATGCGTCCGTGCGTGCCTGGGATCCGAACTGGTGATCCCTGGACCGCTGCAGCGGAGCGTGCACACTTAACCACTTGCACCACCGGGCAGGCTCCCACCTCCCCCCCTTTTTTTTGATGAGAAGATTTAAGTTCTACTGTCTTAGCAAATTTCAATTATACAATACAGTGTCATTAACTGGAGTCATCATGTTTTACATTACATCCTCAGATCTCATCCATGTTATAACTGAAAGTTTGTGCCCTTTTACCAGCCTCTCCCCATTTCCTCCACCACCCCAGCCCCTGGCAACCACTTTTCTAATCTGTTTCTATGAGTTCAACTTGTCCTTTTTTTTAGATTCCATATGTAAGTGATACCATGCAATATTTGTCTTTCTCTCTCTGGCTTATTTCACTTAGCATAATGCCCTCCAGTTTCATCCTTGTTGTTGCAAATGACAGAATTTTCTTCTTTTTTAAGGCCAAATAATATTCCACTGTATAGGGCCAGCCCCATGGCTTAGTAATTAAGTGTGCACGCTCCGCTACTGGCGGCCCGGGTTTGGATCCCGGGCGCTCACCGACACACTGTTTGTCTGGCCATGCTGAGGCCACGTCCCACATACAGCAACTAGAAAGATGTGCACCTATGACATACAACTATCTACTGGGGCTTTGGGGGGAAAAAAGGAGGAGGATTGGCAATAGATGTTAGCTCAGGCTGGTCTTCCTCAGCAAAAAGAGGAGGATTAGCATGGATGTTAGCTCAGGGATGATCTTCCTCACAAATAAATAAATAAATAAATAAATATTCTGTTGTATATATCCATATCACCTTTTTAAAAATCCATTCATCTGTTGATGGACATTAGGTGGTTTGCATGTCTTGACCATTGTGAATAATGCTGCACTGAACATGGGAGTGCAGACATCTTTTTAGGATAACATTTCTTTTCCTTTGGCTATATATACTCAGAGGTGGGATTGCTGGATCATCTAGTACTTTTATTTTTAATTTTTTGAAAATCTCCATACTGTTTTCCATGGTGGCTGTACCAGTTTACATTCCGATCAGCAGTGTACAAGGGTTTCCTTTTTTCCACATCCATGACAGTATTTGTTATCTATATATTTTTTTTTTTTGTGAGGAGATCAGCCCTGTGCTAACATCCGCCAATCCTCCTCTTTTTTTTTTTTTGCCGAGGAAGACGGCCCTGGGCTAACATCCGTGCCCATCCTCCTCCACTTTATATGGGACGCCGCCACAGCATGGCTTGCCAAAGCAGTGCGTCGGTGCGCGCCCGGGATCCGAACCAGCGAACCCCGGGCCGCCGCAGCGGAGCGCGCGCACCCAACCGCTTGCGCCACCGGGCTGGCCCCTGTTATCTATATTTTTGATAATAGTCATCCCAACAGGTGTGAGGTGATATCTCATTGTGGTTTTGATTTGCATTTCCCTGATGATTAGTGACGTTGAATACCTTTTCATGTACCTATTGGCCATTTGGATGTCTTCTTTGGAAAAATGACAATTCAGGTCCTTGCCCCTATTTTAATTGGGTTATTTTTAATTTTTGTTTTTTGTTCTTGTTTTTTTGCTATGGAGTTGTGTGAGCTCCTTGTATATTTTGGATATTAAATCCTTATCAGATATGTAGTTTGCAAATATTTTCTCCCATTCCATAGGTTGCCTTTCCATTTTGTTGATGGTTTCCTTTGCTGAACAGAAGCTTTTTGGTTTGATGTAGTCCCATTTGTTTATTTTTGCTTTTGTTGTTTTGCTTTTGGTGTCAAATCCAAAAAACCATCGCCAAGACCAATGTCAAGGAGCTTACTCTCTGTGTTTTCTTCTAGGAGTTTTATGGTTTCAGGTCTTACATTCAAGTCTTTAATCCATTTTGAGTTGATTTTTGTGTATGGGGTAAGATAGGGTCAACTTTCATTCTTTTCCATGTGGAAATCTAGTTTTCCCAACTCAATTTATTGAAGAGACTATCCTTCCCTATTGTTTATTCTTGGCTCCTTTGTCAAAAATTAATTGACTTTATATGCATGGGTTTATTTCTGGACTTTCTATTCTGTACCATTGATCTATGTGTCTGCTTTTATGCCAATACTTTGATTTGATTGCTATAGCTTTGATTGTTATAGCTTTGCAATATAGTTTGAGATTGGAAAGTATGATGCCTACAACTTTGTTCTTCTTTCTCAAGATTGCTTTGGATATTCATGGTCTTTTATGGTTTCATGCAAACTTTAGAATTGTTTTTTCTATTTCTCTAAAAAATGCCATTGGAATTTTGAGAGGGAATACATTGAATCTATAGATTGCTTTGGGTAGTATGAATATTTTAACAATGTTAATTCTTCCAATCTATGAGCATGGAATATCTTTCCATTTATTTGTGTCTTCAATTTCTTTCATCAATGTCTTATAATTTTCAGTGTATAGATCTTTCACTTCCTTGGTTAAATTTATTCCTAAGTATCTTATTCTTTCTGATGCTATTGTAAATGAGATTGTTTTCTTAATGTCTATATCTAATAGTTTGTAATTAACATATAGAAATGCACTGATTTTTGTGTATTGATTTTGTATCCTGCAACTTTACTGAATTTGTTTATTAGTTCTAACAGTTGTTTTGGTGGAATTAGGGTTTTCTGATATAATATCATGTCATCTGCAGGTAGACATGATTTTACTTCTTCTTTTCCGATCTGGATGACATTTATTTCTTTTAATTAATTAATTGCTCTGGCTAGGACTTCCAGTACTATGTTGAATAAAGTGGTAAGTGTGAGCACCTTTGTCTTGTTCTTAGTCTTTGAGGAAAAACTTAACAGCTTTTCACCCTTGAGTATGATGTTAGCCATGAGCTTGCCATATATGGCAGTTATTATGTTGAAGTATGTTCCCTCTATACCTGCTTTGTTGAAAGTTTTTATCATGAAAGGATTTTGAATTTTGTCAAATGCTTTTTCTGCATCTAGTGAGATGATCATATGATTTTTATCCTTCATTTTGTTAACGTGGCATATCACCTTGATTTGCAGATGTTGAACCATCTTTGCATCCCTGGAATAAATCTCACTCAATAATGGTGTGATCCAGATAATCCTTTTAATTAAACTGTTAAATTTTGTTTGCTAATTTTTTTTGTGTGTGTGAGGAAGATCAGCCCTGAGCTAACATCCGATGCCAATCCTCCTCTTTTTCTTGAGCTAACATCCATGCCCATCTTCCTCTACTTTATATGGGACACCACCACAGCATGGCTTGACAAGTGGTGCATCCGTGCGCGCCCAGGATCCGAACCTGCGAACCCTCGGGCTGCTGCAGCGGAGCGCGTTCACTTAACCAGTATGCCACCTGGCCGGCCCCTGGTTTGCTAATACTTTGTTGAGGATTTTTGCATCTATGTTTGTCAGGGATATTCACCTATAGTTTTCTTTTCTTCTTCTTTTTTTTTTTTTTTGTGAGGAAGATCAGCCCTGAGCTAACATCCATGCTAATCCTCCTCTTTTTGCTGAGGAAGACTGGCCCTGTGCTGACATCCATGCCTGTCTTCCTCCACTTTATATGGGACACCGCCACAGCATGGTTTGAGAGGTGGTGCGCGCCTGGGATCCAAACCTGCGAACCCTGGGCCGCCGCAGCGGAGCACATGTACTTAACTGCTGCGCCACCAGGCCAGCCCCAAGTAGTTTTCTTTTCTTGTAGTGTCTATGTCTGGCTTTGGTATCTGGGTAATGCTGGCCTCATAAAATGAGTTTAGAAGCATTCTCTCCTCTTCTACTTTTTGAAAGAATTTGAGAAGGATTGGTATTAATTCTTCTTTTAATGTTTGGTAGAATCCACCAGTAAAGCCATCTGGTCCTGAGTTTCTTTGTTGGGAGGTTTTTGATTAGTGATTCAATCTCCTTACTAGTAATTGTCTATTCAGATTTTCTATTTCTTCGTGATTCAGTCTTGGTAGGTTTTATGTTTCTAGGAATTTATCTGTTTCTTCTAGGTTGTCCAATTTGTTGATGTATAATTATTCATAATAGTCTCTAATGGTCCTTTATATTTCTGTGGTATCAGTTGGAATCCTCCTCTTTCACTTGTAATTTTATTTGAGTCTTAATTT